CTGAGGACATATATCAGAAAATCACCAATGTTTAAGGAATGGAGAGGAAAAAGAAGAGCTTTTGGGGAAGTTTAAAAGTGGAAGGGGAAAAATCCAAGAAAAGACAGTGGACAAACATCAGTAGGGGTGTGGAAATATCAAGAGGGAGGGCACGGACAATAGCGTTGGCTGTTCATGGGAAACTAAGTTAGGTCAAGGCAGAGAGAGGATGCTTTGGTTCGGCAGTGCAGGGGATGCTGGCAATCTGGAAAAGAGGAGCTTCCATGGAGTGGTAAGGGCAGAATCAGCTGCAGAGTGATGGGTAGAATTAGCAGAATAAACTCAGAGAAGTGGAAGCAAAACAACAGCAGAAATAAGGTCAAAGCCTATTTGCAACTATTTTTACTCTCGAGCTGTAATTTTGTGTGTGTGGAGGGGTGGGGGACGGGGTCTTGCTCTGTCACCCAGGCTGGAGTGCAATGACAAGATCTCCACTCACTGCAACCTCTGCCTCCCGGGTTCAAGCGATTCACCTTCCTCAGCCTCCTAAGTACATGGGACTACAGGCACGTGCCACCACACCCTGCAAATTTTTTGTATTTTTAGTAGAGACGGGGTTTCACCATGTTAGCCAGGATGGTGTAGATCTCCTGACCTTGTGATCCACCCGCCTCGGCCCCCCAAAGTGCTGGGATTACAGGCATAAGCCATCGCGCCTGGCAAGCTGTAATTTTTTAAATAGATATAAGTAGGAAGATTGAATTTACTACTAGAAGGCACAAAGAGATACTTTGTATAATGCTATTTTTTAAATTGGGCTATCTGGCAGGTTAGAAATGAAGTCGCATTTCAGCCTCATGTGGAACTAGATTGGTATTTTTTGTTCACATTATGTTTTAATGGAAATGAAGCCTTGTGAACTTTCTAAGTTTTCAAAACTGTTTCTTTAGTTTATTTGTAAAATGGCTTGAGAGCAACTACAAATACATTCTGACATCAGGCAAATTCCAGGACAGCTATCTCTGTGTATCCAATATTGGTTATCATTATGGTGATTTGGAGAAAATAATACTCTGTACATTATTATAACTGAATGATGCATTATTGACCCAGAGCCTTACTGAACTATTGTTGAGATAGAAATCTCTGGACTGTAGTAAGAGTTTTGAAGTGTGAACTCTCACCCTCTCCCTATAACTCCCACTTTTTCTCTCCCTCTATAATCATCCAAATGTGAAGAGCCCTAAAACAACACTTGGCAAAATGCTACTAATATTATTTTGAGATGTTTCTGTTTACTTGTGAGTTTTAATTCTTCTGCAAGGAGTTCTTCCCTGCTCCCAAATCCCCAAATGTATTGGAGGATTCTATCACTCTCCTCCTCCCTCCAAATCCCAGAACTTGGCCCATCCAAGACCCATAACCTTACATTCCCTCTGATTCTCTTCTCTTCTTCCCAAGTTCAGGCAGACACTGTCCAGTATTTATGTGGGAGAACTGGCTCTAACTGTTCATGTTTTCCAAACTGTTTGTGTTTGCCTGGTCTTAACTTCAAAAATACAAAAGTTAAAAATCACTTTTCTTTTACCTGCAATCTGCTCTGTGTTAGCCCATCCCTGTGACATAAAAATACATTTCTGCCTACAACAGACTGACAAAGAATTACAAAACCTACAGTGAGGCAATTTTAGTTTATCTCTCAAAATATTATCTTGCCACGTAAGCAAATAAAAGAGAGAGAAAGGAGGAGGAAGGAAAGAAGGAAGAAGGAAGGAAGGAAAGAAGGAAGGGAGGGAGGGAGGAAGGGCGGAAGGAAGTCATCAGGTTTAAAATTAGATCACCCCATCATCTAACAACACAATCACTGGGAACAATTTTGGTATATATCTTTTCAATTTATTATCTATGTATCCATCTATGTATTTATATTATGTCTATCTTTTGCTACCTGTAGGCTGCAATCTGCTTTATTGAATTTAATAATTCACTTCTCTAATGCTTGACAGCATTACTCAATTCTGGAAAGCCTTTCTAAATTTTTAAAAAAAAAAATTTTTTTTTTTTTTTGAGATGGAGTCTTGCTCTGTCGCCCAGGCTGGAGTGCAATGGCTCAGTCTAGGCTCACTGCAACCTCTGCCTCCTGGGTTCAACCGATCCTCCTCCCTCAGCCTCCTGAGTAGCTGGGACTACAGGCACATGCCACCACACCAGCTAATGTTTATATTTTTAGTAGAGATGGGGTTTTACCATATGGCCAGGCTGGTCTCAAACCCCTGACTTCATGATCTGCCTGCCTTGGCCTCCCAAAGTGCTGGGATTACAGGCATGAGCCACCAGGTCTGGCTAAAGAAAAAAAAAAAAAAAGGTAAATTTAAATTTAAATTTTTTAATTTTTAATGAAAAAATATATGACACATTTTATCCTAGCCTACCATACCCAACAATTTTGACATTGCTAACTAAGCAATAAAAACAAGTTTATACAAATAACAGACAACAGAATTTGGAAGTATCTTAATATGGTTTGTACATTGACTAAAATATAATAAAGATCTATTGTACTCATAAAATGAGGATGAATAGTCTTCGTAGTGGATGTTGGTTGGGGACAGTTGTGAGAAAGTCATTCTTTTGGAAGATGAATTCTCTATCCACCATGTTCTTTACCAATTTTTCGCATTTTCAGGGATTAGTGATTATATTTGGCACTCAAATTGTACATAATTGGATGTAGAAATAAAGTTAGAACACTGAAAGCTATCTGTAGGGCAAAATAAAAGCTAAGTCTTTTTACTAG